TTGCTACAGAACCCTTTCTGCCCCTCTTACATTGCAGAGATTATTAGCTTCTGTTTTTATTTTATTTTATTTTGTGTGTATTTATAAGTTTCCTTTTTTTGTGCTTTTGTTATATTTTTTAATTATTGCATAATAAATGGAATTTCTAATCATATTGTATAATATATGGTTTTCATATTGGGACTTCTTTGTGTCCTCTGCACTTTGTATCCATTGGACATTTTTATGTATACTGTTGATTTAAAAGCCAGACTTTTCATACTGCACAGCACTCTACAGTCCATACTTATGAAGAAAGTATAAGAACATTACCAGTGAAAAGTCCTAAACACAGTCCTTTCTGCAAGAACTTTACATAGTTTTCTATGGCAATTGCTCAACCTTTATCACTTTAACCCATAATGGTTAAATTGAGCATTGATTAATTTATCTATGTGCCTTGCACCTTGAAATATGATTTACAACAGGTGTGATACAGACAGGTGGTGTGTAACTAGATATATTTGGTGCTAAAGCATAAGCTATATATATTTACAGGTTGTTGTTGTTGTCACAGCTCTTTCTCTGCGTATGATACTAGCCACCTATTAGACAATATTTCTTAACAGGTGTTTGCACAACACAAAATATTAATTAAAAAAATTACATATAATTTACATATGATGAGAATGATAATTTGATACTGAGGTGGTTTACAATGATAGAATATGCCTTACTTAAATCTTAATCTAAATCTTAAAGCATATGGGACATAGTGCTACATAAAAAGAAAAGGTCATGTGACATCAGTGTAATTATTGTGATTTTAAATTTTTTTTTAAATGGGAATGAGGTTTGGCCCAGCAATTGAACAAGGAATTAATATTCTTTTAAATTAAATACATAAAGCAAACATTTTCAGCATTTCCTTATTACACTAGGAATGACTTGATGAGAATTACATCAATTAAATGATTGTTAAATTCATTAAATGTCTCTTGAGCATCAGAGGACATAATGAGATCCCCAAATTGATGGCATTTGAAGTGGCTGGATCATTATTTCTATCTGTTAAATGTGCACACATGGTGCAATAACTTAAATCTCCCTCCTCTAAAAGGCTGATTACTCCTCTATCTAACACAATAGCCTCACTCTTCCTGTCCTCCTTTCACCGCCAGATTCCTGAGAGTTGATTAATGATGGCAACAGATTTTCAGGTTTCATCTTCCATGCATTTTCCAAAGTCTGCTTGTCACTGCTTTTAATACAATCTTTCTAAGATAATGATAATGTTCTGTTATGCTAACTTGGCAGTGCCTCTGGCACTCTTGGGCTATCAGACAGATGGAAGATGATGGGCACGTCATCTTAAAGATTGTCCATCTGCAATCCGTGTTATGATGCCTAAAATCAGAGATGCTAGCATGTTGGCCTCCATTAAAGTTACATTACCTTTTAGATTAAAACATACTTTCTCATTTACATATTTGTCATTACAGAACATTTTACCTACATTTGTGCTGCTGATGGAACTACAGAACATTAAAGCACTTGAAACCTGAATGAAATTAGAATGATTTTGTCAGGCTGTTTGACATGCTTACTTGAAAGATGCCTGTTGAGTCCGCAAGCTTTATTTTTAGTTTTATAACTGTCTTATCCTTTTAATTATATCATTTAATGTGTCCTTGATGCTCTCCTTTCAACCTTGACAAGTGCTACAATTTGGACTGTCTGTGAAAATAATCAGCATTATTTTGTTAGTGGGCATTTCTAGAGTAGTAAAATCCTTTTAATCCACACCCAAACTAACTCATTTGCCAGGAATTTACCTGAGGAGTTGTAAGTAAGTAAGTATGGCTCATTAAGTAAAGCTTCAGAGTTAAATCCTGGACTGAACTATTCGTTTGGGTGAGGAATAACAGTAATTTGATTTTGACAAACTGGCCAAACTAGTTTTTTCACAAGATTAGTAGAAAAGATTATAGATGTATTTACAAAAAACAGTCACTTTGACATACAAAGCTGTAATAGCTTGATGTTACCTGCACTGCCCACTCTATCAACAACTAGCATATACAAATTAGTAACACAGGATCAAAGTCATTGACCGAAATGAGCAGATGCATGTTGCAGATGTTCCATGGAGAATGTCTTACCTATTCCATTACTAGTAAGGCAACTGTCCTTCCATATCCACTGGGTCACTATAGGGTACCAATTCAGAACAACTAGATGCACTCCACTCGCTAAATTCCCCAATATAGGGTATCTGCTCCATCAGGATCCTCAGCTGCAGTCCAATTCCACTAATATGGCATCCACCTTTCAACCCTTTAGATTGTTCAGATGCCAGAGCACTAGATGCCTTGAATGACCCGGACAGGGGACGAAAACCTGTCAGCCAGTAAGGTGGAAATTAAAGCTCTTCTCTCAGATATTAAAACACTGTTTTCCATGGATATTTCAGTGGTGAGGGAGGAGGTGACTCTGACCAACGCTCCTTCACATGAACGTTTGCCACAAACTCCTGGAGGAGTGTGAAAGCTGGCCTCCTGCCCACCGACTATGATCTAGGTTGGAGACCCCGTTCAGGAGTTACCCTACACAGCCGCCATTAGCAGCTTTCCTCAGTGTCCCTGGTTCGGCACTTTCTCTTCATTCGAATGTAACTGAACTCTAGCTCTCTGGAGGCCGTTCACATGAAGAAACCCATGAACCATAATCAACGGTACTTAGCCATGATCGCTATGGAACTAGTGTTTGAGTGGACCAACTATGCATCTATACTCTCTGCAGAAGAGCTTTAATCATTTGAACCTGGATCCAGGACCCTGTTCCAGGGTGAGATTCGACGGCGAGACCCCAACCAAACTGCGACAGCTAGGGGCTGGAGCACTGATGGTGTCCCGGTGATAGCTAGGAAGCGTGTTTGGCGGAGCTACCCAGTCGTGGTACCAGGTGGTGCTCCACAATGACTACACTGGTGGGCCGTATACATGCTGTCGAATAGGATGATGGCCACTACAGGGACAGACAGCAAGACATGGCTACTGCAGAGGAGCAACTACAACAGCAGCATCACATTTATGTGACAGGACTTAAATGTGACAAGATATCTGGAAGACCTGCACTGGCACTGGAATATTAGGATAAGAGGACTACTTGAGTTGCCTCATTTACTTAGGATGCTTTGGACTTCATTACTGACCTCTGCTAAGGCCAAGGGCATAGCTGTGGAAAACCATTTCTGAGTGGCCAGCTCTCCCAGAGAACCAGCGCACAGAGGCGGACAAGCCGCTGTGATGACATAGAAACATAGACATATAATGTGACAGCAGATAAGTGTTACGGGCCAGGAACCAGACAGAGACAGAACTTAGATGCAATAACACCTTTACTTTTGATACTTTAGAGAGAGTTCAGAGAAGGGCTACTAAACTTGTTCATGGATTGCAGGATAAAACTTACCAGGAAAGGTTAAAGGATCTTAACATGTATAGCTTGGAGGAAAGACGAGACAGGGAGGATATGGTAGAAACATTTAAATACATAAAGGGAATCAACACAGTAAAGGAGGAGACTATATTTAAAAGAAGAAAAACTACCACAACAAGAGGACATAGTCTTAAATTATACTTAGGATAGCCATATGCCTATCCCACACATGCTTAAGCTTCTTTACTGTGTTAACCTCTACCACTTCCGCTGGATGTCTATTCCATGCATCCACTGCCCTCTCGGTAAAGTAATACTTCCTGATATTATTTTTAAACCTTTGTCCCTCTAATTTAAGACTATGTCCTCTTGTTGTGGTAGTTTTTCTTCTTTTAAATATAGTCTCCTCCTTTACCGTGTTGATTCCCTTTATGTATTTAAATGTTTCTATCATATCCCCCCTGTCTCGTCTTTCCTCCAATTTATACATGTTATGTTCCTTTAACCTTTCCTTGTAAGTTTTATCCTGCAATCCATGAACCAGTTTAGTGGCCCTTCTCTAAACTCTCTCTAAAGTATCAATATCCTTCTGGAGATACGGTCTCCAGTACTGCGTACAATACTCCAAGTGAGGTCTCACCAGTGTTCTGTACAATGGCATGAGCAATTCCCTCTTTCTACTGCTAATATCGCTCCCTATACAACTAAGCATTCTGCTAGCATTTCCTTCTGCTCTATTACATTGTCTACCTACCTTTTAAGTCATCAGAAATAATCACCCCTAAATTCTTTTCCTCAGATGTTGAGGTTAGGACTCTATCAAGCTGCATGATCTTGCACTTATCCACATTAAATGTCAGTGGCCACAAGTCTGACCAGTTTTCTAGTTTAACTAAATCATTTGCCATTTGGCTTATCCCTCCTGGAACATCAACCCTATTGCACATCTTAGTATCATCAGCAAAAAGACATACCTTACCATCAAGACCTTCTGCAATATTACTAATAACAATATTAAAGAGAATGGGTCCAAGTACAGATCCCTGAGGTACCCCACTGGTGACAAGCCCATGCTTCGAATATACTCCATTGACTACAGTCCTCTGTTGCCTGTCACTCGGCCACTGCCTTACCCATTCAACAATACTGGAATCCAAACTTAAAGATTGCAGTTTATTGATAAGCCTTCTATGAGCAATAGTGTCAAAAGCCTTACTTAAATCTAGGTAAGCAATGTCTACTGCACCACCCTGATCTATTATTTTAGTTACCCATTTAAAAAAATCAATAAGATTAGTTTGGCATGATCTCCCTGAAGTAAGCCAATGTTGTCTCTGATCTTGAAATCCATGTGATTGTAGATGTTCAACAATCCTATCCTTTAACATGGTTTCCATTACTTTCCCCACTACTAAAGTAAGGCTTACTGGCCTATAGTTGCCGACTCCTCCCTACTACCTTTCTTGAAAATGGGCACAACATTCACTAACTTCCAATCTTCTGGGACTACTCCTGTTAATGATTGGTTAAATAAATCTGTTAATGATTTTGCTAGTACACCACAAAGCTCTTTTGACTTATTTGTCTTTACTTTTGACAGTTGAAATAGAACCTCTTCCTCTGTAAACTCACATGTTACAAATTACTAATTTGTCCTTTTTCCTAACTGAGGCTCCTTTCCTTCATTTTCATCTGTAAATACAGAACAAAAATATTAATTGAGGCAGTCAGCTAGACCTTTATCCTCTTCTACATACCTTCCTTCTTTTGTTTTTAATCTAACTAATCCTTGTTTTACTTTCCTTTTCTCATTTATGTATCTTAAAAAATGTTTTTACTGACTGTGCTATTTTCTTTTCTGACTAACTTGCTTTGCCTCTTTTTGCCTAATCTTATAGATCATTCTGTCTTCCTCACTCTGGGTATTTTTTTTATAATTACTAAATGCTAACTTATTGTTTTTTACTATTTTGGCCACATCTGCAGAGTACAACAGTGATTTCTTGAATTTTTCGCTTTTACTGACAAGCCTAATGCAATTTTCTGTTGCCTTCAGCAGTGCAACTTTTAAATAATCCCATTTCTCTTGGACTCCATATAAATTGCTCCAGTCTGATAATGACTCCCTTACACATATTCTAATTTTGTTTTTGTGTGGTGTGACTCAGTCACGGTTCTTATATTAAACCACACTGAATGATGATCACCAGATCCTAAACTTTCATCTACAGTAATATCTGATACCAAATCTCCATTTGTTAACACTAAATCTAGTATGGCCTCTTCATGAGTTGGCTCCTCAACGACAAACTCAGTAGGGAGTTTAGAATAAGTGTGCTCCTGGCACAAGCAGCTATTTTAGTTTTCCAATTCACATTAGGAAGATTAAAGTCACCCATGATGATACTTCCTCCTTCATTGTTATTTTAGCGATTTCTTCAACTAGTAGATTATCTAACTCTTCTATTTGTCCTAAGGCCTATAAATGACACCAACACGAGTTCCTGTGTGATTACCAAATTCTAACATAACCCAAACAGACTCTATTTTCGCCTCACTAACTTTTATTAGGCTAGATTTTATGCTATCCTTCACATACAGGGCCACCCATCCCCCTTTCTTGCCTTCCCTGTATTTTCTATATAAAGAGTACCCTGGTATTGCTATGTCCCAGTCATTTTTCTCATTATACCATGTCTCAGTAACAGCGACTAAATCTATATTATCAGTTGCCATTATTGCCATTATTTTCTTGGATCTTATTCCCTAAACTGTGAGCCTTTGTAGACATGACCCTAAGCTTATCATATTTTAACACACTTGCTACAGGCACCTTCTGGCCTTGTTTTGGGGGGCAATTGGATCAATGTTTTATCATCCTTTTGTCCCCACCTCCTAGTTTAAATACATCCTAGCAAAACCTCTGAACTGCTCACTGAGAACATTTGTTCCCTTGTGAGAAAGATGCAAAACATCTTTTTTGTACAGTTTATTTCCATTCCAAAAAGAGCTACCATGCGAAATTAAGCCAAATCCTTGCTACCGATACCATTCACCAAGCCACAAGTTAAAGTCCCTAATACGCATCCGCCTGTCGTTCTGAGTGTTGTGCACAGGCAGAACTTCAGAGAATGACAGTGTGGAAGCAACCTGCCGCATATCATTGGCAAAAACACTAAAAACTTCCTTTACCTCTGAAACCTCATTGCAAGCCAAGTCATTTGTCCCTCGATGGACAAGTTTATCCAATTCCCCTTCCTGCTTTGCTCGCTTAACAGTATTACAAATACATCTCCTGTCTCTGTGAGCAGTAGCTCCAGGAAGACATCTCACAAGACCACCATTGTCCAGCTCCACACCTCTTATGATAGAATCCCCCAATAACAACTGCTTTCTATTAGGCCTCACCATAGTCTACACAACACCACTACACTTGGTGCCTAAGCCTGTCTCCACAACACCACTACCCTCAGTGCCTGAGCCTGTCTCCACAGCACCACTACCCTCAGTGCCTGAGCCTGTCTCCACAGCACCACTACCCTCAGTGCCTGAGCCTGTCTCCATAATACTACTACTACACTTGGTGCCTGAGCCTGTCTCCACAACACCACTATGACCGCAGCTTGTGCCTCTCCAACATATGCCTTTGTGGAACTATGTCCTTTCCTTTTATTGAGTTTCTTCCTTTCTACTATTGCATGGAGTCATATGCTTAGACCCATTACCAAGATCTTTAGAGAAAATGCCTTTGCCATTCTACAGATGGGGACCAGGGCAGAGTTTGAATGTCCGCCATGGCGGCAAAATACTCCAGGTCTTGGATATTTCGGTGGCAAATGCCTTTGTCACTGCCTTGGGACTTTCATGGCCCACTACTGTCTTCTCACTGAGTAGCCACATTCTCTACCCTGCAGAAAAACAACCTACTTCTATACAGAAACAGTCTACTATTACCTGAGTTTCACAGACTATACAACCTATCTGTGTTACTACAGAATTGTTACTATTTATACCTGTAGTTTGCAACTGTAATTTGCTGTGCAGTTTGTATTATTGTCATTTCATGTTTCTGACCAATATTTCATGAAGACAGTGCAACAAACCACCTCTTTTACGGGTAGGATTTTCTCACACATCTTATGGTAACCACAGCCTTCTAGGGTAATCAAAGTCCAGGAGACATCCAGCTCAGTTTTTCTGATTTATTTGGTGAAAAATATACATGTGCTTCAAAATGAAATAAACAAAACAAAATTCCTTGTTCTTGTTTGAGCACTTACTAAACACAGTAATCACTATCTGGAATTGGGTGGCTTTGCCACTTACCAATTTACAATAACAAATATATACATGCAAGTCACACCATTCCTCTGGTTCGTTCTCCCTCACTCTGCAGCAGGATGATATCTTCTTTTAAAAGCCTGCCTGCTAATTGACCAGCTACAGGTGAGTATCAATTAGTTCACATCTCTGGAACTTCCAAGGTATATACAAGTCCTGGTCTGGCTGTTACAGAGCAACTAGTGACATTGTGTCAGGCTCCCGCGGGCGGCTGCGAGGGGAGGCTGCACTCCGCTCGCAGTACTCACCCTCCAGCCGTCCGCGGTCCCCTCCGCCTCGTGGGTACGACGAGCGGCATCCTTCCAGCCTCGAATGCCGCCCGCCGTTCCCTCCATGTCCCCCAGCGGCAGCATGCATGACGCTGCACGCTGGGAGACCGCCCAGGTTTATACACGCCGGGGTCAGTCACCTGACCCGGCGTTAAAGGCACAGTGCCTCAATCACAGTGGGAGGTCTAAATATCTCCCACGTGTGATTGTTAATTCTGATTGGAAATTATCCAATCAGAATTAACCTGATGGTTTAAATACTTACCTTTCCTGTTCCTCCCTGCCCTGTTGTGGTCTTTGCTTGCTAGTATTGCTACTTACCTTGTGCTTCTGGTTACGTACTCTCTGGCTTGTTTATCTGACTCTGTGACTTTCTCCTACCCTTTGACCTCGGCTCGTTTCACGTTATTCTGTCTTCTGGTTCCCCTTACTCGGCTTGTTTCCTGACTATTCTGTGTGTGCTTAGCCCGGCCACTCTAAGGTCCGGTACGGCACCTTTTGTGTGTGTGTGTGTGTGCCAGCGTGTTGGGTTCCCCGAATCGTGACATTACAACAGGGCCATAATGGAACCTGCTGACATACCACAGCTCCTAGTTAATCAAGAGGCTAGAATGGATGGCTTGGACCACCGTATGGATCAGTTTGCTCAAGCTTTGCAAACCATTCTGGCTCGTACTGCACACTTGCAACCTGCCGTTCAGGAGGCTGCTGCTGCTGTGCCCGAACCCATTCCCACTCCAGTACCTGTTCCCGCTCATGTAGTTCACATGACGCCGCCACAGCGCTACAGTGGTGACCCAGCATTGTGTCGTGGTTTCCTCAACCAAATCGACATCCATTTGGTGATGAATCCACGCTCCTATCCCACTGACAGATCTAAAATTGCCTTTTTGATAAACCACTTGTCCGGGAGAGCTTTAGCATGGGCCAACCCCATTTGGGAAAATACGTCTCCTATGTCCTTTGCAGATTTTCTGACAGCTTTCAGACGCACGTTTGATCAACCCGGTAGGGTTGCTTCTGCTGGCAAGGCTCTGCTTAGGGTCCGACAGGGTAACAGGTCTGTAGCAGATTACACTATCGAATTTCGTACTCTAGCAGCTGAAGTGGTTTGGAATAATGACGCCCTCGTAACAGCCTTTCAGGAGGGTCTGGCCGCTTATATACTGGATGAAATAGCATCCAGGGAATTACCTGCTCTTCTAGATGATGTTATAGACTATGTGATTCTTATAGATAACCATATTAGAGAGAGGCGTAGCCAAAGACGGTTGGATACACGGGTGTTACCTGCTCTACCCAGTACTTCCTGCTAGCGTTACCCGCTCCTATGCAACCATCCCCTGAACCCATGCAGTTGGGTGCTACGGGGTTAACTGAGGCCGAAAGAGCGTACCGTAGAAGGGAGGGGTTATGCCTTTATTGTGGGAAGAGGGGGCATCACTGTAAAGCCTGCCCTAAAGTACAGGGAAACTGCAGCACCTAAGGCCTAGAGAGGGGTCGGCCTCGGGTGTTATGACTTTGTCCCCTCATATGTCCATCTCCAGACCGTTTATTACGGTTTCTCTCTTTGGTCAATAAAACCACTATAACAACCAAAGCCCTGATCGATTCGGGTGCGGCAGACAACCTTATGGATGAGACCTTTGCCAAAACCGCAGCCCTGAATTTGATCCGAAAGGAGACACCCTTGGCCGTTGAGGCCATAGATGGTAGACCACTGGAGAAACCTCTGGTGACCCATGAAACCCAGGAAATAGTTATGTCTGTGGGTGTTTTGCACAAGGAGAAGTTAACCTTCCAAATAATTGACTCCCCAACAGCCTCCATCGTTCTAGGTTTTCCCTGGTTAGTTAAACACAACCCTGTTCTTGATTGGGGTTGTTTAGACATACTCTCCTGGGGGGAATCTTGTCAGCGAGACTGTATGGCTCATGTACGTCCTGTCTGTTTACTTAACGTGCCCACGGCTAAACCACTCTCGGTTTCTGTTCCCTCTGTTTATGCAGACCTTGCCTTGGTTTTTGAAAAGAGGGAGGCAGATAAGCTACCTCCACATCGTGAGTATGATTGTGCCATAAACCTCTTACCGGGCACTATGCCTCCTAGGGGAAAGGTCTACCCTCTTTCTGAAAAAGAGAACCAGATCATGGAGGAGTACATACAGGAATCCCTAAGAAAAGGTTTTATTAGAAGGTCCTCCTCTCCTGCTGGTGCTGGTTTCTTTTTTGTGGCTAAGAAGGAGGGCGATTTGAGGCCATGTATAGACTACAGGGGTCTGAACAATATAACGGTTAAAAACGCCTACCCTATCCCCCTCATCACTGAGTTGTTTGATCGTGTTAAAGGTTCTAAATTCTTCACCAAATTAGACCTCAGGGGGGCTTATAACCTTGTCCGTATAAAGGAGAATGACGAGTGGAAGACAGCGTTCAACACACGCAGTGGGCATTACGAATATCTGGTCATGCCTTTTGGATTGTGTAATGCTCCTGTCGTGTTTCAGGACCTCATAAATGATGTCCTTAGGGATCTATTGCATGTCTGTGCTGTAGTGTACCTTGACGACATACTTGTGTATTCTCCTGATTTGAAGTCACACCATAACCATGTTAGGATGGTGCTCAAAAGGCTATTGCAGAACGGACTCTACTGTAAGTTAGAAAAATGTTTATTCGATCAGACCTCTGTGCAATTCCTAGGATATATCATTACTGAACAGGGTTTCAGTATGGATCCTGCTAAATTGGAAGCTATAATGTCCTGGCCACTTCCCCAAGGACTAAAGGCTATCCAGCGTTTTATAGGATTTGCCAACTATTATAGGAAATTTATAAAAAACTTTTCACCACTCATATCTCCCATAACGAAGTTGACAAAAAAAGGTCTACACCCTAGGGTTTGGACTCCTGAAGCCCTTAAGGCCTTCGAAACCCTCAAGAAGGCATTTGCCTCTGCTCCAGTGCTGCACCACCCTGATCCTTCTCTTCCCTTTGTTATGGAAGTAGACGCCTCGGAGTCAGGTGTGGGAGCCGTACTGTCACAGAGGTTGTCTTATGACAAACCCCTCCATCCCTGTTGTTATTTTTCTAAAAGGTTGTCTGATTCTGAGAAGAATTACGATGTTGGGAACAGGGAACTATTAGCTATTGTGTTGGCTTTCAAGGAATGGAGGTACTTATTAGAGGGTTCTAGACACAAAATTATGGTTATAACAGATCATAAGAATCTATCCTATATTGCTGATGCTAGAAGGTTATCTGCCCGGCAGGCTAGATGGTCTCTATTTCTCTCACGCTTCCAATATGTTATTACCTATAGACCTGGTTGCCGTAATGCCAAAGCTGACGCTATCTCTCGGCAGCATGAACCAGTAGAATTTGTTAACCCGACTCCTGAACCTATTGTACCTGCGTCTCAGATAATAGCTGCTACCCGTTTGGTTGTTTCTTCACCTTTCCTTGATAGTATTAAGACATACCAAACCCAGGCACCCCTGAGACGCCGGTTGGTAAACTATACGTTGAAGCTAATGACAGAAAAAAGTTGTTAACTTTATTTCACACAGCCAAAACTGCTGGTCATCCGGGGGTTACCAAAACCTACAAGGGCCTCCTTCAACAGTTCTGGTGGCCTTCACTCAAGCGAGACGTAGTGGATTTTGTTCAGGCTTGTCAGGTCTGCACGCAATGTAAGTCCCTTAATGTGAGACCCCAGGGTTTTCTGATGCCTCTATCTATACCCAAGAAACCATGGACCCACTTATCCATGGATTTCATTGTAGACCTGCCTCTTTCTGATGGTCAGATGGTGATACTGACTGTGACGGATAGGTTCTCTAAAATGGCGCACTTCATTCCGCTTAAGAAACTGCCTTCTGCGGTTCAGTTAGCTCAGGTGTTTGCCAAAGAAGTGTTCCGATTGCATGGGGTACCTCAGGATATCGTATCTGACAGGGGCCCTCAATTTGTCTCTCGGTTCTGGAGGGGCTTTTGTGCTGAGATGGGGGTCTCCTTGTCGTTCTCTTCCTCCTATCACCCGCAATCTAATGGTGCGGCCGAACGTGCTAATCAGTCTGTGGAATTGTATTTGCGCTGCTTCACTAATGCGCACCAGGATGACTGGTCTCGCCTTCTTCCGTGGGCTGAATTTGCCAGGAATATGGTGTCTCATTCGTCTACTGGCTTAAGTCCTTTTGAGGTTGCTTATGGGTTTCGTCCTTCTGTCCTTCCCGGTGCGTTCTCCGACAAGGGAATGCCCGCCTTGGACCAGCACCTCGCCTCTTTGCGGAAGACGTGGGATCAGGTCCATGTTGCGCTGTCTCGTTCAGCAGCTGCTCAGAAAAAGTTTGCTGATCGCCGTAGGGTTGCGACCCCTTCTTATCTTCCGGGTGATAGGGTATGGTTGTCCTCCCGGAACCTCCGTCTCAAGGTTCCCACGATGAAATTTACCCCCAGGTTTCTTGGTCCCTTCAAGGTGTTACGTAGGGTTAACCCCGTTTCCTACTCCCTTGATCTGCCTCCTTCCATGCGTGTCCCGAACACGTTTCACGTCTCGCTTTTGAAGCCCTTGCTGTGTAACCGGTTCTCTCGTCCCCTCGGGCGGCCCGTTTCCCCTCGAGCTGTCTCTGACGACGTGTACGAGGTGGCTGCCCTTCTCGACTCTCGTGTTTCTAGGGGTCGGCTGCAATATTTGGTGGACTGGAAGGGGTACGGCCCTGAGGAGCGGTCCTGGGTTTCAAGCTCCGATGTGCACGCTCCCTCTTTGGTCCGCTCCTTTCATGCCCGCTTTCCTTTGAAGCCTTCCGCTTCCCGCCCCCTGGGCGGTCTTCGAGGGGGGGGTAATGTCAGGCTCCCAGGGGAGGCTGCACTCCGCTCGCAGTACTCACCCTCCAGCCGTCCGCGGTCCCCTCCGCCTCGTGGGTACGGCGAGCGGCCTAATATATCTTCCCTCAACAACCATTCCACATTTTCTCTCACTACAGTTATTAATATTTTGGGTGATAGAATTTGGTTGCTAAACTTTTCAATAGTATATAACACATGGCTACTCTACCCTCCTCCCCCTCTTTCCTATTCTACTCCCAGCTGTAAATACCTTCATAAAACTGTTCCATCTATATCCCTCAGGCCTCATCTCATACTCATACTCATTGAAACTCTGCATTTAACATCCTGCAGCAAATCCAACAACCCTCAGGCCTCATCTCACACTCATACTCGATGGAGCTCTCCATTTAACATCGTGCAGCAAATCCAACAACCCTCAGGCCTCATCTCATATTCATACTCAGTGGAGCTCTGCATTTAACATCCTGCAGCAAATCCAACAACCCTCGCCACTTACTGCCCACCCAGGTTTCCCCTAAATATATAACATGCTCGTCCAGCTGAGTGAGATTCTCCCTCAATTACTTATTCATTCCCTTTATATCCCTTACATATATATATATATCCCTTTAACTCTTTTAGCGATCACCTCCAAATTTCCACTGTTACCTCTTGTCTCAAATCCCCATTGTATCCTTTAGATTGTACGCTCATGGGCCATCTAGCTAAGAACTTTGTATAAAAGAGCTCCAATGGCTCTCTAAACCTGTATTTGTCTCTGTATATTGTACGTTCTCTACTAATTGTACAGTGCTGCAGAATCTGTTGGTGTTTTATAAATGCTAGTAATAAATAAATATTTTAAGCCACTTCTTTTAATAAAAGTTTGTTTTTACTCCTTAATTATAATGCTTCTCTTTCTCTTTTATATTCTTGTTGATGTCCATACTGACATGCACTATATTTGCAGGGCAGCCTGGGATTAGCACTTCCCAATATGCTTCTCCTACCGGAGCATCGATTGACCAGGGATACTAAACCCAACCAAACAACCTCTGCAGAGCAAGCCACAGAATTTATATTATACACATGGATTTAATGTTCCCTCTCGTCACCTTCAGTCGTCAAAAGAACAAAGATAAAAGCTGCGCCAAATATAACCGATAGATAATAGATAGGTAGTCTAAATATAAAAATCTTAGCTAGAATAGATATTACGAAGATCAAATAGTCTGTGCTTTGTTTGATCAGGAGCAAACGTTCTCGCTGTCCTTCCTCAGGGGGATCCAATAATATGAAAAGATAACACAGATAAAAGACCAAATAGTGTAATATGTTCACTAAGGTACGACAAATGTTAGAAGAAGATGGTAATGCACTCACGTTTTTTAGAGCTATAGCTAGCTCTAGTAGAGAAAGCGTACGGCGGTATAATCCCTGTGTATGGGATATGACGCAACCTTCTTTCTTCAAAGATGTGTGGACCACTCAAAAAGAATAAAAGGAGACAACCAATAGTGCTCTCTGATTAAAAACGGTATAGAAATAAAATAAGTATAAAATGGTACTCACAAGGATGGAGCAGACAGACTGCTCCTTGGTGATAGCTTAGGTGGAATAATCCCCACTGCGGATTTCTTGGAGTCCAGGATAATAAAAATGCCAGGAATGAAATAAAATATAAGGTGTATTATAAAAATGATTTGCAAAATAAAAATTGTCCCAAAAATCTTTAATAAGTGAAATACACAATAAAAATAACCATAAACGCGTTTCGCCTAAAAGGCTTTATCAAGATGGAATAAAACATATTACCTGGCAAGGTGACTTTAAATAGGGGTACAGATGTTTAAAAATGGTGCCTAAACCATAGGCCAGCCAATAGGAATACAGAAAGTAAAACATTAATAATGTTAATAAAATACATTTAAAACATTAATTATAACTATATCATACTTAATGCAACATACTGTAAGTGATAAACAGTAAAAACAAGTGTTTATTCGCTAAATAATTACTTTTTTAACGCGGTCACATGACTTTAATACCGCAATGATGGATGGGATATGTAGTACGAAAAAAACGCATGGGCCGACGTATGCTATTTCCATTCCCCACTAAACACGCATGCGTGCATGCGTTTTTTTCGTACTACATATCCAATCCATCATTGCGGTATTAAAGTCATGTGACCGCATTAAAAAAGTAATTATTTAGCGAATAAATGCTCGTTTTTACGGTTTATCACTTACAGTATGTTGCATTAAGTATGATATAGGCAGCTTTTATCTTTGTTCTATTGTTGTTGTATTCCAAGGGTTCTGAGGGATTCCCTTTAAAGGCTGCTGCCTCATTCTGTTATTAAGCGCTTACTCTCTCTTTTTGTTTTTACTCCACAGCAGGGGGTATCACATGATTTAATAATATCAAAACAGGTGGTAGATTTCAATTGCATTGTTCACAACTCTGGAAACCTCATCAAAATAACTAAAGACCATCTAACAATTCTAAAGAAACTGAAGGCATTGCTCATTGATACAGCTTTCTTCTACCTGCACTGAAACTCATTTTAGGCCTCATCCATTACACCTTTACTTTTTATACTGGTTGGTTTCCAGATGTTTTTATGCAAAAAGAGATTGGAAGGCAGGATTATTCACAGATTCCTGAGCAGGTAAGGTGAAGGAATTCCAGAATGGTCTACAGTTCCCCATGTAACGTAACAGAAATTAAATTGTGCTGTGACACACACAACTCTTGCTCCTGTGGGGTCTCCTCTACAGCCGACATGCTATGACATCTCCTGCTTTTATTAATGCCAAATTGGAAAATCTGGAACAGCCAAAAATCCACCAAACACCAGCCAAATTATTTCCCACTTAGGCCTTTCTACAATGCCCTTTTAATATGCTCTTGTAATCAGGGCCGGTGCAAGGATTTTTGCCGCCCTAGGCAAAGGAAAGATTTGTTGCCCCCCCCCAGGGACATCGCAATGCCCCACCCATATGATCTGCCATATGAACTAATGCCAGTGCTGCACACAGTGTGTGTTTACATTAAAAAGCCTGCAGGGACAAACTATAGACACCAGAACAACTTTATTAAGCTGCAGTGGTTCTGGGGACTATAGTGTCCATTTAAGGTGAGGTAAATTAGAGATTAGTGTCACTAATAATATACTAGATTGCCTACTTACAATCAGATGAGGATGGTGATGGGCTCTGGCTGCAGTCTGGCTCCACTGGTCTGGTGTAGAACAGGATCTCTGGAGGCTGTTTGTAACTGTGGTCACAAAATTCAATGTTCTGGGAGAACGGGAAGCAGCTCCATTTTTAGGGGCCTCTTACATAGCTCAAGGTCTGGGCCCCAGGGCCTGACGGTGAGTATGCCCATAAAGCCCACCCATAAGTCCACCTACATGTTCCACCCATGAGTTCGCTCACAGGGAGTGGAGTGTGTAGGGGGTATGTTATGTGTTACTGTAGAGGATCTAATGTGTGTGCTTATGGATTGTAGTGCATAGGGATACCAGTTTGTGTAGGTGATGCAGTGTGTTTGTGTGTGGTGGAAGCAGTATGTTTTTTTGTAAGGAATAGAAAGCAGTGAGTGTTTGTGTATAAGGGATGTATTGTGTGTTTCTTGTGTGTAATGGATGCATTGTGTGAATCTGTGTTTGTATGCATAAGGGATGCAAAGTGTTTCTGTGTATGTAAGGGATGCAGTATGTTTCTGTGTATGTAAGGGATGCAGTGTGTGTGTCTGTAAGGGGTGCGTTGAGTGTGTGTAAGAGATGCATTGTGTTTCTGTGTGTGTAAGAGAAGCAGTGTGTGTTTGCATGTGTGTGTAAGGGATGCATTGTGTGTGTTCTGTGTATATGTGCAAAGGATGCATTGTCTTTATGTGTAAGGTTTGCATTGTGTGTTTCTCTGTGTGTAAGGGAAGTATGTTGTGTTTCTGTGTGTATAGGGATGCATTGTGTGTGTGTGTGTGTGTGCGCGTGGTGTGAAAGAGCTCCCTGTCCTGCCCCCTGTCCTATAGAGCTCTCCCTTCCATTCCTTAGAGATCTCCCCTGCCCCTTAGTGGTCTCTCCTCTCCCCCCCACCTCCCTTAGTGGTCTCCTTTTCTCCCTGACTTTTCATTAGTGGTCTCTCGTCTCCACCTTAGTGGTCTCTGCCCTCCTCTGCCCCCCTTTCCATTAGTGGTCTCTCCTCTCCCCCCAACGTCCCCTAGTGGTCTATCATCCACCCCCCTCCCTTAGCGGTCTCTCCTCACCCCCTCTCCCCTAGTGGTCTCTCCACCGCCCCCTCCCTCCTTTAGTGGTCTCTCCATCCCCTACGTTCTCATCTCCCACCCCCTCATTCTCTTTCTTCTCCCCCCCGTTTCTCCTCTCTTCTTCCCCCCTCCCTGTAATCTCTTCTCTCCCCCCCCTGTAATCTTCTCTTCTTTCCTTCCTCCCTGTAATCTTCTCCCCTCCCCCTGTAATTTTCTCTTTTTCTCCCCCCTTCCCTCCCTGTAATCTCTTCTTCTCCCCCATAATCTCTCTCTTCTTCCCCATAATCTTCTTCTTCTCCCCCTCTTTTCTCCCTAATCCCTGTAATCTTTCTTTCTTTCCCCTCCTCCACCTTTCTCCACTCTCCCTCCCTCCCCTCCCTCCCTCTCCACCTTCTTCTTCTCCCTCCACCTTCTCCACTCCCTCCCTGTTCTGTAATCTTCCACTCCCCACCTCCACTTCTCCAGCCCTCCCCTGTAATCTTCCCCTGTAACCTTCTCCACTCCCCCCCTGTAACCTTCTCCACTCCCCCTCTCCCCCCCGTAATCATCTTCTCCTCACCACCCCTGCCCTGTAGCGTGACCGAGCTCCTCTCCAGTCCGCGACCCGGAGGGACTGACAGGAAGTGCACACTGAGACGGGAAGTGGAGATGAGGCAGTGCGGCAGCCGTCTGAGCGTTCTCTATAGAGCGCTCAGGCGGCTGTGGCATTTAAAGGGCCAGCGATGGGGGCGCAGGGCGCCCCCTCCTATATGGCGCCCTAGGCGGCTGCCTAGTTCGCCTTATAGGAAGCGCCGGCCCTGCTTGTAATTTACTAATTTTGGTCCTGATCTGGCCTGCAAGATTAGGCACTGTAGTATTTCTAATTCATGCTAACTATGATTATCCTTTTGGAGATTTCTTATCATTTTGCCTAATATGAGGTTATTATGTTAATCCTGACCATACTAAGGACTGCTAGTACATCTCACTATCCTTTACCTATACATTTCTTCACATTTTGGGTTTGGCCAGTCCAAATTGTCATTAAAGGCCAGTCCAACTTTTCTTTTTTCTGCTTTCAGCATTTTTCATGGAAACTAGTAAGCTGATTCTCTGGATATACACATTATCAGTGGAATAAAACTTGATGAAAACAAAAGTTCTCTTGACATGTTACTGTCACAGTGAAATTATTAAAAACTCTAAATACCAACTGTGGCAGGCCGTCTGGTACCCCAACTGGGTACCTCCGCTAATTCACGCTTCCTGGTAATCACTTAGTAACATAAGCACTGCACTGGGACACTATAAGCACTTCCAGCCCCTAGCTGCTGCAGTTTAGGCT